GCGATGTCGCCCTCGTCATGGGCTCCGTGCTGGTCGCCATGTACGTCATTTGCATCGCAACGGAGGACGGTCATCTGCTGGAAACCGCCGTCCTCGCCTTGCTGGCCCAAGTCACCCTTGCCGTTGGGCTCATAGAGGAGTTTGACGCCCCGACTCACGTCCTGGATTCCCTGCTTGCGGGGAAGGATGGCGAAGCCCCGAGAGAGTTTGTCATCCTCTTTGGTGACAAGGTTGCCTTGCGATCGCAGGAGGTCCGCGCGCTTGTCCTCATGTATACTACCACCATGCTACTCACAGCCATGGCCCGCGCCCCGAGGTTTGCCAGGTTGTTGCAGGTGGGTGCTGACCGGCTGGAGAACGAGGAAAAGGATGGGGAGAGTGCGGGTGCGCCAGGTGACACCCGACCGCCAGCGATGTCTGGCTTCTTGAAGGGCGCATACAATGCCGTCGTTTTGATGGCTGTCACTTTTAGGTTGCTCGTCTGGACGGGTCAGGTGCATAATTCAGAGTACATGCCGGCGCTGTGTCGAGGCGTGCAGGTCATTGCTATAATACTCCTTCATCGCGGGTATCTCGGGAGGGAGGAAGAGCAAGCTGTTCCAGTGCCCGAGCCGGTGAGAGACATTGCTGGTAACGTGATTGAGAATCCAATCGCGCTTTGAGATGTATGCCGAGACAAGGCAGATCGCAGGAAAACGACTCAACGGCCCACATGCTTTGACAACGTGGGACCGATTTTGGTCGCCACAAAATTTCTCGACTTGAAATTTATTCATAACACCCCACACCACCGTTTTTCGACAACAACCGCAACTCATGTTCCCGTTCCCACACCGCATGTCACCAGCTAACCGGTTGGGACTTCGTCTCCATCGCTCCATCAGTTCGCTAAGCTTCGCTCGCAGTCCACTCCCTTTGCGCCCGCGTCTCTTCTGACACACCATCGCCCGAGACGAACAAACGAAACTCCGGTCCTCACAACCACGCTCTGCCGAAAACGCTTCAATCCCAACCACCATGGCTGCCCGCCTTCTCACGACTAACAGGACTGCCTTTGCAGCTCCAATATCACTTCGTCCCCAATTAACGGCAACAACCATCCACGATACTGTACGACAGGCGGCGTCCAAAATCTCACACATGCCTGCATTTCGACCACTCAAACCCTCCGCTTTCATCGCAACTCGTCCACGCATGACGATCACCGGCCCGCCCAAACCAACTTCACCTCCGAAACCGCCCGCCACCCCGGTGCCAAACGCGACATACAAGCTAGCGCTTCTCTATGACAGCGACTGCCCGCTCTGTCTCAAGGAGGTAAACTTCCTCCGTCGACGAGTGGACGCGCACGGCCCGCCCCCTTCCATCAACTTTGTGGACATTGCCTCGCCCGACTATAACCCCACTGACTACGCCGGTATTGACTATGAAACCGCCATGGGAAGAATCCACGGCCTGAAACAAGACGGAAGTGTGATTGTCGGCGTGCCCGTCTTCCGAGCGGCATACGAGGCGGTCGGGCTTGGTTGGGTGTACGCAGTGACCAAGATCCCCGGCGTCGGTGCAGCGGCGGATGCCGTGTATAACGTGTGGGCTGACTACCGGTTGCAGTTCACAGGGAGACCACCCCTCGAGGACGTCATGCGAATGCGGAGGGAGGAGGCCGAGAAGACGTGTCGGTCAGAGGGAGAGTAAGGGTAGTCCGTGCTTGTAGGAATAAAAATCGAACAGCGACTTAGTCACATCATCACGTAGCTTGCGAACCGGACGGCGAAAGAGCGACATCAGGCGGCCTAGCGACCTGCTGCTCCTCAATATTACTCTCCCTCCTCTCGCTCTCCGTCCTGCCCTTGCCTCCAAACAAGCGAACAAGCATTGCGTCGAGCGGCGTTGCGGCCTTTTTCTTGTGCATGAAGAAGGCGGTTGCAGCAATGACCATGGCGATGATGAAGCCAAGAACTGAGGACACGATGATGCGCGGGGCGATGACAGCGTTGTTTCTGTCTCCGGCGCCAGCGTCGGCGACGGGGGGCCCATCAGGCTGCCCGCCGGAACCGTCCGCAGATTCGGGGCCTTCGGGGCTTGGGCCTTGAACTGCGACGGATGCGGAGAGGAGGAGGAGGAAGATCGTGAGCGAGAGCCGTGACATATTCTGGGTAGGGAAGTCGCTGGGGTAGTGGGCAAGTTGTTTTCGAGGGCATGACATCTTTTTGTACAGTACCAAGGGTACCCCGGCACCCCTGGTAGAGTACAATTTATATGAGAAATTGTTACAGCATTGATTTGATTACAGGGGGGGGGGGGGGGGGGGCG